GCTTGGAATGTCGACTTTATTTAAGTTTTTTTCTTTTTTTATCTTTACCCTTTCTGCAGTAATGAAAACTTTATATCTTGAAGTGTGATATGGAGGGACTTTTATAATTGAGGGTAGGTAGGCACTGTATGTGGATGGGGATAAGATGGCAAGTAGCTATAGACATTGACAAGTTTTCATTGACTGGCTTTTTGACAGTATGCAAGTTGTTATGGGTTTAGAAAAATAGAGAAAGTGCACTTTAGAGGATCCAAAGAACCTTTAGCACATTCTTTGAGGCTTTTTTATAAGGATTCCAGTAATTGCATGTTGGAAATTCTTAAAGAAGTGAGAACTATAGAGATTTATGTGGAGCACAAAATAATCAGAGACAAAATTGCAATTTCTCAAGGTGATGAATCTATTTTTGACCTTACACTTGAGGAGTGCATTAGTTGTCCAACAGTAGCTTAACATAATTCTTGATGGCATAGATGGTTGTACAAATGAATCAAATCATGAGGAAGTTGGTGTCAGCATAAAGGACATAAATGGTGAGGTGTTAAGGCAAGAGGAAGACTCATATTTTGGGGTTGGGATTGAAGTGAATATTGAGCTGCCTATTGAAGAAACTATAGGAATTGAGCAAACAGTTGAAGAAAATACAGAGATTCAAAATGAAGGTAGAGTAGAGGTTGAAGATGAGGAAGGATATGATGAAGAAGAGGAAGATGATGATCTTATTGAATGTGAATGGATGTCATGTGATGATGATGAGCTACAAGAGGCAAAGGAAGCTGTAAAACAGTTTAAGAATAAGAAAAAGAGGGGTTTGATGGAGAAAGTGCAGAGCTTTGAAAAAGTGAACCAAGAAGATGCAGATCAAAGATAAATTGCAAGATGAACAACCAAATAATGGTAATACCACTGGTTTATTAGAGTTCAGATGCCAATTGGAGCTTAAATGAACCAGATGATAGTGAAGAGGAGGCTGTCAAAAGGAAAGGAAAGTACCCATGTTTTAATCAATATGATAATAGTGTTAGGTATGCATTAGGAATGATATTTAGCTTTATTAATCAATTAAAAGAAGCAGTCACACAAAAAGTTATTGAAGATAAAAGGGAGGTGAAACTTGTTAGAAATATAAGAAAACAATTAAGAGCAAAGTGTATGAACAATTGACAATAACCCATCACATATTTTCATTTACGAACTAAAATTATTTCCTTTTCATTTAAACTTAAAGCAATCATAAAGAATCAATAATCAACAGAGAGAGATGAGAACATGAACACCAGTAATGTAGTCATTTCATAAAGTCACTTGTTAAGCAAGTCCACCAATTGTCTGAGGCATTTTAGTGAACACATGGTGTGAAAAAGAACATAGATATTAGTGTTTATAAGCTTAGATAAGATATTCCCAACATTCTACTGAAGTACAATTCTATAAATATCCTAAGCCCCTAATACCTCCACCAAAATGTCCTAAGTTCTATTTGTGACTACAACCAGCGAACCATGCAATTACCAATTTCTCTAAGGCCTTAATTACCATTTCAAAATGATAATTATGATCAACACAACTACTCACATCTGTAGAGTCATCTCTCTTTTTGACTTCTTTATAAATCCTCTTTCAGATTGTTTACCTTCTTTATAACCCACAAATGATAGTCTTCACTATCCTTTCCAAAAAAGTTGACAAATTGGGTGAATACGTAAAAGATATTCTTCCTTTTCCATCACTTCGACATGTATAAAAAAATATTGTGACATTTTTTTTGTCTTACAGCGTTCTAAAACTGATCATTTTTTATATATTGAAATGGACGATTCCAACGTTTAGAGTCAAAAAGAATAGTTACAAAAGGTTTTCAAACCAGAAAAGATCTTTATTTTTTTATCTATCAATATTTCTAACTTTAAATTTTCTTGATTGGGATCTAGATAAAAAGTTTCATATAGTGATCTATTTTTATAGCATGTCTCTTTAAAGTGAAAATGGAATTCATCCTTTGTTTTTTCTTTTCCATTCACTTAGATCTCTTCTGTTTCGTCGATTTTGTTCGAATCCTCCTTTTCTTCCCAAAAAATGGGAAGAAGAAGGATCTTCTTCAGTGGATCCCTCTTGTTCTCGTTTAGTCCCCTTAATTTCGGAAGTTGTTTCTATTTCTACATCTATTTCTTCCTCCCTTTCTTCCGCTTCTGAGGTTTCTTTCAATTTCTTAGTAAAAATGGGTGATGGTATTCTGCCTAAAGAGTAGACACAAGTAATAAATAAGAGATTACTAAAGATTCGAGCCATAGAATTTTTCAATTCTGACACAAGGAACTTTGCAAAATCATTGGATCAACCCATTCAAAAAATTCACACAATTGATTTCGATCGCCCTGAATTGAAGAAAAAATAGCAAGAATTTATTGATTCAAAGTTAATAAATTAGAACGCCCAAAATCAAAACTTGCATTTAGAATAAAACACCTAATTTAGTTTATTACTCATCGTGTGTTTTGCACATGAAACAAATCTCTCTAGATTTCATTCGGTCCATGATATGCGCACATAGCAAGGATTTCCACTGTAGCAAAATCAATGTTCCATTATTCTTAGAAAGTATTTTGTTTTACAAAAAGAGTAGAGCTTTAACATCCCTTAGATTCTACGAGAGAGAGATACATAAAGAGCTGGTTTTGCATTAGGTTAAATTAGTCTTTTACTTCAAATGTATGCTGAGTTGTAGAAATTTCTTAAAGGCTTTTTCAGATCAATTGCCAGTCAAATGTCTATGTTGATGAAAGTGGGGCCCACTTCTGCCACAGGCTCCACTCCGGCATGCTATGTACACAAAATGTACTTGATTGGGAAATTTTTGGACCGTTAAACACTTAATCGAGAAAAGTATTTCCATTGAGACGTCAAATTGGTAAAATTTAAAAAGTTCAGACACCATTGGTATAATTTTCCCTTTTTCAAACAATAGAATTAAATCTTTAAAGATATTTTTATCAATTCATAAACTTAGTAAGGGTGTTTTTGACAATCACAATGTTTTCTATTTCACTTTTAATATATTATAGATCATAGATAAATTTTATTAAATATTATATTATAATATTTAATTAGTAATTTTTATTTAGATAAGAAATAACATATCTACCTTAAAAATAAAAAAAAAATACATTATTCACCATATAAAAAATAAGTATATGGTAATTTTATATTTTAACAATAAAACTGCTAATTTTATCAAATACCAACATTCATTGCCTAACCACTATTAGTAGGGGTGGCTACAGTTCTAGAATCACTAGTTTCGATTCCAAAACCAACGGTTCTAATTCCAAAAAAATGTGGAACTAGAATTAAAACTGATGGTTCCAGTTACAGTTTGCAACTAAATGGTTATAGTTCCGATTACGGTTTCAAAATTGACCGTTCTAGTTGATTTTTCGATCGATTTTTCAAAAAATCGTATAATTATAAAATAAAAAATTAGGAAACATTTTTTGTTAAAAATTTAAAATTTAAAAAATTATGAAGTAATTTTTAAAAAAACTTTAAGAAAAAAAGAAAAAAGGCTTGAACTTTTTTTTTAAAAAAAAACAGGTTGGACAATAATTAGAGATTAGACTTTGGAGAAATTATTTAACAGTAATTTGGATAATTATAAATGGGAGAGTTAAGAGAGACTGGAGAGTAGAGAGTAGCGGAGGGAAATAATTTTGTATGAAGATAAATGAAAATAATGAGTATTTATCAATTAAAAAAAATCAACTTTCCACAAATACCCTTAAAACTAGCCTTTATAAAACTGTTAAGATGGAATTTAGAGATTTCACAAAAAATTTTGAAAAAGTAAAAAAAATTATGCTAGAACTGCCGGTTTGAACCGGTAGAATTGCCGGTTCTAATTGGTTGAAAAACTGTTGGCTTCGTTTGGTTCTTGGAACCAACGATTTATGGTTCCTCAAAACTTGAAACCAGAACTAAACTGCAAAACCCCTAATTTCAACCGGTTACAACTCACAGTTCCGATTCTAAAAACAGAAAAATAGCCATGCCTAGCTATTAGTTACTAACTAACAGTTATCAATAACTAATTAAATAAAACAAATGGCTCTTAACATTATGATTGGGAGAGAGAGAAAAGAAAATAAGCAAATATTATATTATATTTTTTTTATTTTTCACCTTATGTTTGAATTTGAAGAAATATATGGGAGGAAAAAAAGTTATTTTTATAAATTTATAAATTTACACTTTTTACCATTAAATAATATATTAACTTCAAAAGAAATAGTAATAATTATATTATTCTTTTAAAAGATGCAAATGTATTTTTTTTAATCTTCAATTATATTTATCTGCGTCATAATAATTTGATTTTAATTTTTTAAAAGTATTTTAAGTGCTGAATAAATTCATCCTCACTAGATTTTCTTTTTTTTTTTTCCTATTAATATTATATTCTCATAATGAATCTAAAATCCGAGTCTTTGACGATACAGTTAATCTTAAGTCAGCACGAGTTAGTGGTGGCCACGATTCTGGAATCGCCGGTTTTGATTCCGGAACCCCCGGTTCCGGTTTAAAAAAATTTGAAATTGAAAACGAACCAAAATTTGGAACCGGTTTCAGACGGAACTAGAACCGTCGATTCCGACTGGAACTAGAACCGCCGGTTCGTGGTTTCAAAACTGTGGAACTGGAATCGAATTGGTTTGAACCGATTCTGATTCTGATTCAGATCGATTCTGATTCTCACCGGTTTCAGTTCCGGTTCACACCGGTTTGGAACCGACGGTTCTATTTCTGAAAACCGGATTTTGGCCGCCCCTACCACGAGTAAGCAAAAACGAAGGGCAATTTTGTAATTTAAGCAAACAATGCAACTTTCCTTCTGTTCGCTACTACTTTCTCTAAGATTTGAAGGGATTATGAGACGGTGGGCCCGGAAGTAAAATAACTTTCCTTCCTTTCCTATTTTTCAAACAGAGGAAGTGCTTTTCTCTAATTATTTTCTGTATCCATTTTCTTTCATCAGATATTTTCCACCCTTCCAAACACAGTAACAAAGAGACAGTCAGCAGTCTACTAAACGCCTAATAAAACCCTAACATAATTTGTCTTTTTGTGTTATATATTATTTAGTATACTATCTGAGACAAGGGGAGTCCAAAACTAACAGTAGAGAGAAGAAACAGACATGGCTCAGTTGAAGGCATTATCACCATATTCTTCACTCAATCTCACATTCCATGGCCCTAAAAGAGGTGCTGTTGTTGGATTTTTCTAATATTTCATTCTTTCTCAATGTTTTCAATCTCGATTTGTTTTTATTTCTATTTCCATTTTCCAGATGTGTTGCAACACAATTTCAAAGTGTCCTCTAATGCAAAACCAACCATTTCATTGCTAAGGGTAAGCAACTTTTTGCTTATTTTTTTGGATTATTTAATTTGTTGTTATTTTGTTTTATTTTATTTTTTGGTTTTCCATTGCAGTTAGGTGCAAAGAGGAGTGATCTTCAAGGTGATGAACTTGTTGTTAATGCTCGGGATATTATTAGAACTAGTCGCAGTAAAGGTGAGTTTTATTGCTCAATCTCTTTTTTCCTCCTAATTTTTTTATTTTTTATTTTTATTTTTGTTGTTTATCATCTTATTTTGGAGAATGTATTTGTTTTAACTCTTCTCCCAGAAAAAGAGAACGAGAACCCAATTGTTGGTTTGTGAATAAAATTTAGTTTAAGCACAATAATATTGGGAGAACACATGTTTAGGTGCATTGGATGTGAACAGGCTTGATCTTAGACTTTTTAAAAATTTTTTGTATGGAGAAAAACAAAATTTCCCCCCAAGAAAGTGTGTGAAGAAGTATGCTTTATTAGATCTATATACGAATTTTTATCTTTACAATTATCTAGTGTAACCAAAGGTCTAAAACAAAAGGAGAAATGAACAATGTAACAAACCGAGGCTAAGAAGAAGTTGTTTTTCTATTTTAAATAACTCGATTCCATGATAGTTTTAGATACACTCTTAATGGTTGTTGTATGGTTGATTTATTTGAGTCTATAAATAGATTGTTGATAATTTTATTTTGAAGAGCTTTTCAATTTAGATTGATGATTCACTTTGATACTATTCTTCTCCTTTTGTCTGTTCTTGATTTTCTTTGGAGTGCTATTGCTTTCTACCGGAGGACATTGCTCATTTTTTCTTTTTCATTATAACAATAAGTTTGCCACATTCTTTTTCATTACGCTTTGAAACATGTTTTTCTATTCATACTATTTCTGGTTTCTCTCTTTTTCCCTTCCCCTGGGACTGCTTGATAGTAGTTACACGGTTTTCTTCTTCATTCACTGCTAATAATTTTCAAAAGTCAAAGAATGCATATGAGAATATGAATGAGATGACAATGTCTATGTGGTGTTAATTGCATAGAATTCTGTTTATATACCAAAGCAACGAGGATGCTGGTGTTCAATAGTTTTATTCACAATTGATTTGATCTTTATTTATAGCCATTCAAGCAGTTTTATCAAGTGATACAGAAGTGGAAACGCATGAAGCTACAAAGAGGAAAGGACTTCGAGGCCATTTAAATAAGGTTGTTTTAGCCTATAGTGGTGGCTTAGACACATCAGTTATTGTCCCTTGGTTAAGGTATGTTCCTTGTGCTTAAGTTTAGAAACTAGTTTTGTGAAAAGCACTAGGGCATTAGTACTATTTTTAATGACTCTTGAGGAGTTGTTTTGTATCTATTAGTCAAAATGAAAGCTTTATGTTTGCATGTTAATTTATTTCCATCCATAATATACTGAGTGAATTTGTTCAAGCTTACACATGGTTTTTGATACCAGTGACAAGTTCAGAACAGGAAAAAAATTGTGCATTGTGTGATAAGATAGCTAGAAATCTGGGTATATTTTGTTATCTATTTTACTTTTGTTGAAGAGCTGTAAGTTCTTTTTCAACTTGTTACTTGCTTCCAATCTACTAGCTTCTAGCAAAATCACTTTGCTTCATCTTATAACTTCTGTTTTACTTGGTAATAATAAACTGTGCAAAAAACTACACGATAAATGCAAAAATAATATTCTTATTATATTCATAACACTCTGTGATCTTCAACCAATCCTGCAGTTGAGTGCAGTTTTTAGGACTAATTGATCGATTTTTTCTCCAATTATGAACTAAAATTAACCTAGTTAAATCTTGCTGATAAATTCAGAACAAGAAAAGGAAATTTTAGTTTTTGTTTTTGCTACTACAGGTAACTTCTTGAAATTAATATAATCCATCTTCTTAGTCTTTGTTATGAAGTATAATGCATATACTTCTTTCCAAGCTTTTTCATAACTGTTGCAGGGAGAATGCAAAAATAATATTGTTCTTGAAATGCAAAAATAATAAACTGTGCAAAGAACTACATGATAAATGCAAAAATAATATTCCTATTATATTTATAACACTCTGTGATCTTCAACAAATTCTGCAGTTGAGTGCAGTTTTTAGGACTAATTGATCGATTTTTTCTCCAATTATGAACTAAAATTAACCTAGTTAAATCTTGCTGATAAATTCAGAACAAGAAAAGGAAATTTTAGTTTTTGTTTTTGCTACTACAGGTAACTTCTTGAAATTAATATAATCCATCTTCTTAGTCTTTGTTATGAAGTATAATGCATATACTTCTTTCCAAGCTTTTTCATAACTGTTGCAGGGAGAATGCAAAAATAATATTGTTCTTGAAATGCAAAAATAATAAACTGTGCAAAGAACTACATGATAAATGCAAAAATAATATTCCTATTATATTTATAACACTCTGTGATCTTCAACAAATTCTGCAGTTGAGTGCAGTTTTTAGGACTAATTTTTTGTTTTTGCTTCTATAAGTAACTTCTTGAAATTAATGTATTCCATCTTCTTAGTCTTTGTTATGATGTATAGTTCATATACTTTCTTTTCAACTTTTTCATAACTTTTGCAGGGAGAATTATGGTTGTGAGGTTGTTTGCTTCACTGCTGATGTTGGTCAGGTATGGTATCCTAGTGGCACAAAACATACTTTATTTTTTTTTTTTTTTAGACGTTTCTGATTTTCCCCTGTTGAATCCTCTTTACATGTGTATTTCATAAGAGGTTTAAAAAATTATAGGGATTAAAGGAATTGGAGGGATTGGAAGAAAAGGCCAAGGCAAGTGGAGCTTGTCAACTGGTGGTGAAGGATTTGCAAGAAGAATTTGTGAAGGATTACATTTTCCCTTGCTTGCGAGCTGGTGCGATCTATGAAAGGAAATACTTGTTGGGGACCTCGATGGCACGCCCTGTTATTGCAAAGGTTGTAATGGAAATTTTTATCTTTGTGATTTTAAATTATGCCAAATTCTAACATAAATATCTTTAACATATTATGAATAAAAATACAATATGCAATTCTTATAAAACTCTATTTACTTCCTTTATACTCAAAGAAGCGTTTATGGCCCCTCTCTAGATCCTTCTTTTAGTTATGAAATAAAAAGAGATAGATCTTCAATTGGTGGAGGTTGGCTCTACTTTAAAACTTTTGCTATCTTTTTTACATTATTATTATTATTATTATTATTATTATTATTTGGTTCCTTCCTTTATTCATGAAATAAGGTCTCTCTACTTTTTAAATACTTGCTATCTTTAAATTTTGTTTGTTTGCTTGCAATATAATCTTGGTAAGTTCATGTCAATGTCCTGATAATTGCATTTACAATTGTGTGACAGGCCATGGTGGATGTCGCCAAAGAAGTTGGAGCAGATGCTGTTGCTCATGGATGTACAGGAAAAGGAAATGATCAGGCATGCTGTACAATTGAATCTTAAATTAATTATTTGGATTGCCTTTTGTGCTCCTTTTGACACAATCTCTTGTGGCTTATTTGTCTAAGCAGGTTCGCTTTGAACTCACATTCTTTGCACTAAATCCTGAATTGAATGTTGTGGCCCCTTGGCGCGAATGGGATATCAAGGGGAGAGAAGATGCGATTGAATATGCCAAGAAACATAATGTGCCCGTCCCTGTGACTAAGAAATCCATATACAGCAGAGATAGGAACTTATGGCACCTGAGCCATGAGGTTAGCTTCTAAACTTTACAAAGCTGAGTTATGAATTCATCCCACAGAGATTGGTGAAAGCACATAATGGATTGATTTTAATATAATTATAAATGGGAAAATTTTATTTTTACCTGAAAATTATCTGCTCAAATTTATTCATTCTCTGAAGTAATACACTTGAATGTAAATTTCTGATGCTATTTTGTGCTGATGACGTGTCATTGGCCACAGGGTATGATTAACCAGAAATTGACATGTTAAGCACTTAGCGTAGTTGTTAAAGGCACAAGCTGTAGTGGGCACAGCTCCTCGCATCTTACAATTAATACCTCTCCTTGCATCTTACAATTATTACTTTTTGTTCTCTGGTCTGCTTGTGCCTTTAATAATTGTGGCACATAGGTCCAGGTTCTGTGTTTTGAATGGGTTCAGGGGCCTTCTATACATAATGATCTGTAAGAAAAATGCTTAGAACAAATTAGAGTTTCAAAGAGCGGCCTTTATTTAGAAAGTTATTTGGGGTCATTTAGTCCAACGAACTCACGTGGTGTAACAAAAGATCACATTTCTGTGGATTGCAAAAAGTTGCAAAGTTCCTGTCTAATGGATAATAGATTCTATTGTGATTCTTACGGGCTTAAAGCTGTTTTAAAAAAGCTTTAAGTAAAAACTCTTTCCATAATCAGTTTTAAGGCCATAAAAGCACATTGCAAAAAGCTACTTATAATTGAGCAAGATTAATCCTAATTTTTGGATAGAAATCAGCTATTAGCACTAGCAATGCAAAACGGGCCTGAAAAGTGGTTGTTGGGATAGGTAAAAGAAACGATAAGCCTTCTTATATCAATCTGTCCCTCAATTTGGATTATAATCTCTTTATATGCACAAACATGTATCCTTGTGCTTCCTTCTCTTGCATTGAAATGGAATGGCTTCTCTTTAAAACCGCTCTAATCTCAGATTTGCAATAATATCTCTATCCCTCTTAATTTTGGTCTTGTTTCCAATTCCAGTTTTGCTGTTAAATGCATGTTCTCTAACTGTGCCCATATCTTGTGCCCATGCAGCAGATCCCAAAATGGGCAGGGCAAACATGACTCATTGTGCAGAACCATAGAAAATTGTATTGGTTAATTAAAAATTTGAAACCTTATAACCGTGATATACATATTCTTCACTTGAAGATTACTTGACCAAATTAACTTTAGTATATATTTGTAACTTTTGGAGTTAGGCACTCTCCATCATACCAGGCAGTAGATTCTGCAGTTAAAGTGGTTTCCTAGCTTAAACTTCCTGTCAACTTTGTGATTTTACTTGGTTCCAAAACTATGCAGATTTTTTTTTATATTTGGCATACAGTTTCTTCACTCTTAGAATATCTTGGCAAGGTTGAATCTAGATAATTTCTTAACTTTCATTAGTTTTGGGAGTCATTTAGATATATAACACTATGTTTGGAACAAATGAATCATGAATGTATTCATTTGTAAATGAATTTATCATGTTTGTTATGCTTAATTTAAAATGAAGAATTCAATTGAATTCTATGAAAGTATGTTCTGAATAAACTCTTAAATGAAAATTCATTTGTCATTATTTTCTAAAATACACTGAGACATAATAATTTAACAAAAACAAATAACAAACACCAATTATATTTATTATATACAATATCATAACTTGTTTTTTTTACTAAGATATAAATAATAAATTTCATATAAATAAATTTATTACTATACAATATCATACTTGTTTTTTTTTACTTAAGATATTAAATAATAAATTTCATATAAATAATACACTCAACATTCCACCCTAGTTAACTTAATTTAAATTAAATTATATAAAATCATAATATTAAATATATAAAATAATTAATAAAATATAATATATAAAATAATTAATAACATCCATCATAATAATTATCTTTAATTTGTATAAAATGTCTCTGTTCAAAAAAAAAAAAGTTGTAAAAAGTCTTTTTCATTTAACTAATTAATTTAGAAACTACAAAAATATTTGAGAAGGTTATTTTTGTTGTTAATTATATTTGGAAACAGTAGTACATAGGACAAAAACTGTAGTTTCGCACTAATAACTATGGAGTCCAAAAGAAAAAAGAAAAAAACAACAAGGGGAAAGAAAGGAAATACTTCAGTCTATAGAGGGGTAGTTTTGTCAAATAAATAAGTTAAATAAGTAAGAAAAATTGAAAATTGACTTTGTAGAAGGAGATGGTAGTTTTGTCACAAAAAATTGGAGTGCTTAGTTTTGTGGAATTCATTTGGAAATTCCACCTATTTTTGTGGAATTTGGTGTAGTTATGTTCAATTCCATAGAATTGAATTTCTAGAATTGAAATTTACATGTTTTTTCATTCCAAACACAAGAATATGGATTTCTAAATGAATTCCACAAAATTTTGTGGAATTCAGAAGTTCCACCAAAATTTTGTGGAATTTATTTATTCCAACCAAGGCGAATTCCACAAAATTTTGTGGAATTCATTTATTCCAACCAAGGGGTAAGATACTCAAATAACTAATCTGATTTCCTTTTATTTTTTGTGGACCTTCCTGTGTTAAGTTTTTGGTTATAGAAGTAAATAGTGAAAGCTCATCTTCTGTAATCAACTAGAGAATGCCATAAGTTTGTTCTAGTTTTGAATCAGCCAAATATAACAACCTAAATGTTCTTAATGCCTTAAACCTCTCATGTAAGAAACCGACCAACATCTGTTGAAGTAGTTTGTCTTTGGTTGAGTTTTTTGGTTTGAATAGCTTAGCTAAAATCCTTCTCTAAAACTAAGTTTGTTGTTTTAGTTGAGTATAATTTTTTAAAATTTCTCTCTCAAGGGTGACATCTTAGAAGACCCAACCAATGAGCCAAAGAAAGATATGTACATGATGTCTGTTGATCCAGAAGATGCACCCAATCAACCTGAGTAAGTTGTTACATTTTTAGGTACGCTAATCTAAGTTTATCACTTTTCTAACTGCATGATGATTTGCATTTTGTTTTCATTCTGTAATTCTTTTAGATATGTAGAAATCGGGATAGAGTCGGGAATTCCTGTTTCAGTTAATGGCAAGAAGCTTTCCCCAGCTTCTCTTCTTTCTGAGCTCAATGACATTGGTGGAAGACATGGTGTTGGTCGTATTGACATGGTTGAAAACCGACTTGTTGGTATGAAAAGCCGCGGCGTTTATGAAACTCCTGGAGGAACCATTCTCTACAGTGCTGCACGCGAACTGGAGTCGTTAACTCTCGATAGAGAAACGATGCAAGTTAAAGATTCACTTGCCCTCAAGTACGCTGAGCTAGTGTATGCAGGCAGGTGGTTTGATCCGTTACGCGAGTCTATGGATGCATTCATGGAAAAAATCACAGAGAAAACAACTGGTTCTGTGACACTGAAGTTGTACAAAGGATCTGTATCGGTAACCAGTCGGACAAGTCCCTACAGCCTGTACAGGCAAGACATCTCATCCTTTGAGAGTGGGAAGATTTATGATCAAGCTGATGCAGCTGGTTTTATAAGGCTTTACGGTCTTCCAATTAAGGTCAGGGCAATGCTTGAGAAGGGGATCTAATGAATACTTTTTCCTGCCCCTAAATGCATTCAGTTAGGTATTCAGTTTGTAATGAACTTTTTTTTTTGGATTAGTCTTTCCTAAAATTTTCAACTTAAATAACCCTTTTGAGTCTATAAATCTCTCTTTTTGCTTGCTCGTTTTCTAATTTCAGTGGGAGCACTATTTATTTCTGCTGCTACTTAATGGTAAAAAATATACCATCTCTCTCTCTCTCTCTCTCTCTCTCTCTCTCTCTATATATATATATATATATATACCCTTATTTCTCTATATATATATATATATATATATATACCCTTATTTCAAAATTCAGTATGATATACCTCAAATCAAATCAAAGGAAATTAACATTAAAAGCCACCGAGTTCTTAAGTATTTGAAACTTCGACAGCACATTAATTGTTTTAGGAATTAAATACAAACTAGATGAAGGCTTGGGTTTTGAACGAGTTGCTTTATTAGTTTGTAATTTTTATTAGTTTGTAATTTATAATTTTTTATAATTTTTAAACGATCCGTATTTATAATATTTAAATTATGTTTAACGTGTATTATAAAATTTATTTTTTACCTTATTAAATTGTCGTGTTATATAAAAATTATGGCATGGTTAATTTGTTTAAAATAATTATAAATATCAATTAAATTGAGTTAGAGTTTATAATTCAAATAGGTTAAATATTGTTTCTGATCCTAGATCATTTTATACAAATAAAGTTCAACAATTCAAATAATTTAATGAGATAATATATGACAATATTTTTATAATTTAATTATTTGTTATTTAATGTTAAACAATTATATACTAAATGTTAATATATTATATTATATATGTATATATATATATTTTAATTTTTTTCAAATTATAAAGAAATTTTATTTTTTCATAAGCTTTTGATAACTAGATGCCCTTTGAGAAAACATATATTTTACTATGATTTCTTTATAATTAATTATTATTTAAAATTAATAAATTTAATTTTAAAATTAAAAATTATAATCATATTAAATTTCTTTTTCTTAATATAATTTCTTTTGATAACTGATTTTTTTTTTTTTTTAAAATTTAAATCTTGCTTTGCTTGAGTGATGATTTTGACTCGTAATAGTTTGCCTTAGAAGTCGACAATTTTGTTTTGGTGTTCAGAATGATTGATTATCTAGGGTCTAATAGTATAAAATATGTTGTTTTATTGTGTGTATTTGTGAAATGGGTTGCTGAGTTTTGGCACAGATTTCGTACATTAGAGAATGGTGGTTCTAGAGTACTACCATATATTCTATGCATATCAAGGAAGGGAGGGGGCAATAGGGAAAGTGAATCTGAATAGATTTTCGTATTTGGATTTGATATACTGACTGTGTCTTCGAATTGTTTAATATAGGGGAGTTTTGTTGAAGTGATGAGCGGGAACAACATGAAAATTGAGAGGGACTCAGATGTGCTTTTAATGTTTGAAATGTTCAAAGATAAGATTGATATTGAATTAAGAATAGGAAATGCAATGCAGCCAATTGCATTTTGGTTCCCAAAAGGGCATCAAGTAAGGAATGTAGGTGGGAAGGGAATGCAAATGGGAATGAAGCTGACATAAGTACTGCAGTGCCAGCTCTGCCATGTAGTCTAGTTGTTAAGGATATAAAAACATCATTTTCTCAAATTGGTGGGACAATGAATGTGAATGAGGATGAGATAGTGAATGTGAATAAGGGTTAGGCAGTGATATACATGAGGGTGAGACCATTAATACCAATGTGTATGATAATATAGCTGAGGTAAATGATATGAATTTTGCTGAGAATGTGGTTGCTGATAATGAGGTCCATGACAATGTGAATGAGGGTGATAATATGCATCAAAATTGGAGTGGTGGGACTGGTACAACTCAAAAGAAATATATATCTAGGCTGTTATATGAGATAATATCATGAGTGACGCTTGCTTTGAGGGCTATGGAGGGACTCAACCTAAAAGGGGTAGAGAAAGGAGAAGTGGCAGTGGTAGGGGAAATATTAGAGACAGAGGTAGTGGGACTTTTAGAAGCAGAGGTGTTGGACATTCAAGTGGAAATAGGGGAGGCAGAGGTGTTGGACTTTCCAGGGGACTAAATTCAGGTGTAGCTGCAAATGATGTTACAAATACCACTTTAGAGGCTGAGGTTTCAACCAGAAGAAGTCAAGCAGATAAGGGAAAGCTGTTAAAGTTACAGCTACAGCTATTGATGCAAGTGTTGTTGACAATTTTTGGAGGTATTTTGTTAAAGTCATTTAGATTTTGTTGTATTTTGTTGTTTATGGTGAAACACACCTTCCTTGACTATATGGAAGGTTGGTGAACAAACTTTAGAACCTAGCTATCTAAAAGTTTACTTTATGCTGTAATGGAAATCTTAATAAGAAATTTAATTTTGTTTCTTCGACACTGCACAAATCTGCAGCTTTTTTCTTTATTCTGCACAGAATTTCCTTCTCTCCTTAATTTTTGCTTCTTCTAACCAACCAAGTGGTATCAGTAGCAACCTTGATCTCAAAGGGCTGTGTGTGGTTGCAGTGAAATCATAGAGAAAGGCCACCCAAATAAACCAGAATTTGTTGGAAGTTTTTTCTGTTATTTGCTTTTTCCTCAAATAGGCCTTCCAGCTAGCATGTTCCTTCTTATCACACCTCATTTTAATGGCGGAAAACTCATCATGTTCTGGGCTGTGAAGATGAAGAGCTAATTATTTCAAGGGGCTCTGCATCTGCAGTACTGGGAAGAAACAGCAGTACCTCCACCTCTTAATCAAAAATCCAACCTTCAAACAGATTAACCAACAATGGAAGAAGAGGTTGCTAAGAGATTCCAAAAGCGTGGCTGTCCTGAGTTCCACCTGCAAGCTGTTGCAAGTCCATCCTTCACCAAGATTTTGAATGTTGAGACAGACACATGAAGGCTTGGGAGAAGATTAAAAAATTGAGTATTCATGGATCTGAAAAAACTAGACAGATGCAGATATTCAATTTAAGAAAAGATTTGAAATGTTGGAAATGAAGGAAAATTGAAAAGGTGAAAAGATATATGTTGAATAAGAGTTATCGAAAATTGATAAACCAAATTCGATTGTTGGCGAGAAGAAGTTAGAAGAGAAGAGAATTGTGGAGGAAAGTTATGTGTGACTCTCCCTGAAAATTTGAAGCCAAGATTTTCTTCTCTTAGAAGAACTTCGGAGAATGTCACCAAATTATCCTTTGAAATGTGCTTTCAACATGCTCTACAAGCTGTTAGACAAAGAAAAGCTATAGGGAAAGAAGAAACCTTTGGGAAGGCTCTTGTCAGTGACTTCCAACAAAAAGAAGAACAATCCACGAAAACAATTGGAGGAAAAGGAATAGATTTCACCTTGTCCACATTGCAAAAAAACAAACCACACCTGAGACTATGCTTGTTCAAGACCACTGGAGCTCAATGTAAGGCTTGTAAGCAATTTGGTCACCACCGAGAAGCTTTGTTCTACCAAACCCGAATCAACAAACACAAGACATCATAGCACACAGCTTCACCGAAAAAATTCTGAAAAAAGTATTGAAGAACAACTATTTGCTGCAAAAGAAACTTGAAGAATGTTTGGTGTCTCAGATTGAAGCTTAACCGAAGCCATGGTTTGTTGATCATGGCTGCCACTAACACACAATGACACCAAAACTCTGGTGAATTTTCCGATAGCTTGGGATACAACTATTCTTCAAAAGATCAGACTTGCGACGATGAGGTTCGTATGACGTCAAAAGGCAAACGGAGATTGTGATTGTTACAAACTCCTTCAGTACAAAGCTTGTTTTCCGATGTTTCTATTACGCTACGGAAACTAATCAAAGCTTCTGTTTTCGGGTGGGTCAATTGGGCTGATAAGAGTATATTTGTATTCTAAAGAAAATAAACTTGTGAATTAAGTGTCATTTTGGCTCAAAGGTTTATTTGCTGTCAAAATGAACGCAAGAAGCTTTTCCTCTAAAACTTAAGAAGATTCGAAGAAGAATCTTGCCTTGAGTCATAAGACGAAATCTGAATTTGTGGCATTAAGAGACTTGTCACACCAATCTCAATCATTAAATTGCTACCAATCCAAGAAGTTAGTTGCTTGGAATTTTGCCATTCTGTAGTATTGAAACAACAATGATCCCAAAGCCTACAGAATTTTGAATCCTGATACTAAACAGAGTGTTATATGTCAGCATTGGTGTTACAAATTTGATTGAGAAGGTGAATGGGATTGGAGTAAAATCGGAACCAGAAATATTACTAAATCAGTTCTTTGAACAAGAATCATTTTCAAGCAAAGAGCAAGAACTTCCAGTTGATAATGAGATTGATTATGCATTTAAGAGGGACTAGATCTCCCTAGCATGAAATATTACAAGCCAGATGTAATGATTTTCACTTGAACCAACTTCAGGTGGATGAAGCCTTAAAATTGCCTGAAGTGGAGACGCTGCCATTGGGAGGAGGAGCTGAAGATGATTTATTGAATTTATCGCAGAAAATCCAACTAAAGAATTACTTTGTGACAACAAATCAGCTGTCACTTAGCGTTAAGCAATCCCAATCTCCATAGAAAAAACCAAAACCAAGCATACAAAAATCAAGTACCATGCAATTCATGAAGCTGAAAAGGAAAACAAAATTCAGATTGTTCATTGCAGTTCGGAAGACCAAGCAGCAGATATTTTCACCAAGGCATTGCAAAAAAATCAAGATTTGAATCTTAGGAATAGACTTGATGTTTGTCTCAACTCTTGCATCAAGGAGGAGTGTTAAAGTTACATTACAGCTCCATTGAAGTAAAATTGATGCAAGTGTTGTTGACAGTTTTTGGAGAAATCTTGTTAAAGTCATTTAGATTTTGTTGTATTTTGTTGAAGTAGAGGTAGGTTGAACTACCTTGCTTTTTAGGTAGGTTTTGGGTGACAACCTTCCTTGACTTATGGAAGGTTGGTGAACAACTAGACTAGCTCTACTAAATAAATGTTACATTATGCTGTAACTGGAATTGATAAGAAATTAATTGCTTTTCTTCACATCACAACAAATTCTGAGCTTTTTTCTTTTTTGCAAGAATTTCCTTCTCTTCCTTTAATTTTCTGCTCTCTCTAAACCAACCAAAGCAA